TGACAGACAAGTTATTCAACCATGGCCTCACGACCATCCAAACAAAACCATTTGAAAAGATCTCGTTCGAAATCGAAGGGTGAGTAGAGCATCATCAGGGAGGCAAACAACTTGGTACCTTTTGGGGTCGAGAGAAGAAGAAGATACTGCATGAAGAGAAAGGGAACAAGCAGCTTTGGAGGACGAGTCACTAAGCTTGCTAGTACGTGAAGTCTGTATGGAAACCTTAGAAGAAGCCAAATGATTTTTAATGCTTTTGGGGCTGGAGATTGATTGTTTCTTGGGACCCACTGAAATCATAGTACTTTTCTTTAAAAAGGAATAGGCATCTTAGATCTTCCTTTGAGAGCAGCTTGAGTCACGGGATCAGACCCCTTTAAAGGGGATTTCATGTTGGGATCTAGAGTGGCATCTACTTAGATTTCGGGATTGAAATGGCCATCATTTTTGCTAGAATCAATAGTTGCCTCATTATGTTCAAAGATAGGATTAGAAACTGAGGTAATATTCTTGGGTCCTTTACTAGCTTGATTAGTGGGATTTGGATTCTTAGGATCGCGTTTCCTTTTTTCAACTAATATCCATGGGCCGTAGGGGTCCTTTAGAATATTATTAACCGAAACTGGGGCAGGAGGAGGCAGGTTCATAGTAGGAGCAGTAATGGAGGATTGCTCCTGATTCAATTTAGGGCAGTTTTCTTGAATATGACCAAAGATGCCGCAGTGAAAACTGACAGGGCAATGACTCATATTCCATAACCTGGAGGTGACCATTGATGTCAACCTTGGAGATCAAGGGCTTTCAAAGATTTAGGGTAACTGCCATACGAGCAAATCTACCCCTATACCCATTATCCGTCTAGAAATCGATTTTGACAACTGAACCAATCAGGTTACCAATAGCTTTGTAATACCTAATTTTATCCTAAAATAAAAAAGAAACAAAATCAAGGACTAAACTTGTAATACTACCATTTATAATTTGGGGCTTTAAAAGCCAATCAAAAGCATAATGTAAAGTCCCTCCCCCTTTTGTAAACCAGATTGAAAGCAAATAAAAAACCAAGAGTGCTCTCTCTCCTTTACGTTTTATACTTTTTTTCTTTTTATTTTTTTACTGTATTTCTCTTGCTGTTTGGGGTTCACGTCAGAGGGGGGTCACTGTCGAGGTCAGTTAGGGAGCTTGGTTAAGCTCCGGCTTAAAGAGAAGGGAGTTGAAGAGAAAGGAAAGGGGGTGTTTGCTCATTTAGATCCTTGGGTTGGGGATCACAGGTCTTTTGAACGTCGTTCGGGGTGAGAAGCGGTCACCATGGCGGTGACCGGCGAGGGAGCGCGACGACGACCATGGGTACATTTATGTTTCCCTCCCGTGCAAGGAGAGAGGGAATGAGGCCGGTCGCGTAGAGAAGAAATAGAAGGGGATGGGCTGTTTGATGTATTTTTTTGGGTAAATTGCATTTAGGCCCTCCCCATTTCTGGTTTATTTACGTTTAGGTCACTTATTTTAGGGGCTAATCAACCATTAGTCCTTCCAGTTTTAGTGTCACTTTACGTTTTAGTCATTATAGGGTAAAATATTTATAAATCCCCTGTATGTTAGTCCTTTTACACTCCAGTCACTCATTTTTTAAATTTTGAATATGTATGCATATTTTATTAATTTTTAATTTAGTCATTATTCTGCTATATTATTTATTACATATTAACCACAAACTTTTATTTTATTACACTCTAACCTTTATTTATTTATTTATTGTTTCTATTATTTGATTCGGCCTTGTGGTGACCCTATCCGGGGTATGATCCTCATTATTATGGTTCGGACTCTGCTAACTATTAACTTTTATTTTATTGCATTCTAACCATTGTTTATTTATTTATTTATTTATTTATTTATTTATTTATTTATTTATTTATTATTTCTAATATTTAATTTTGCCTTGTGGTGACTCGATCTGGGGTATGATCTGCATTATTATAGTTCAAACTCTGCTAAACTTTAATTTTCTAACAACTAACTTTTCTAACCGCTAATTACTAATTGTTAACATTTTATTTATTTGTTTGTTTTATTTCATGTTCGAACCATGTACGACTTTGCGACAATTCGTCTCGAGGTATGACTCGCATCATTTACGGTACGAGATACATAATAAAATTCGATATTAATATTTTATTTTTATTGCATTTTATTTCTGTTATTTAATTTTGTGCACTTTTACATTTTATTTGCTTTAATGTTCTAATCGTTTATTTTTTTCTCTTTATTTTTCAGTACTTTAATTTTTTTCGTTTAATTATTGTGTTTTATTATCTGTTTATTTTACTTCTATAATTTAATTTTTGCTTAGTTAGATTTTATTTCCTTACATTTTTACCATGTGTGGATATTATATATTTAGTCATATCATTTATGTATGTATATGTTCTTTGCTCTTGGGAATTGGTTTCGAACAATTATACAAAATATTAGTCTCATTCATTTTTAACATTTTTTTATTCTAATATTTTCAAGAACACTTATTTGTAGAATGGACGTGGAAAACATCACTTGATCGAAGTGATGTAATACAATATGACATTCGAACCAAATATGAACTTGAAATAAATTGTATTTGCTAATTATTAATTCATTTCATTTTAAGTCTAACAATGCAATGCATATTTCTATAAATAGAAATTTATTTTATTGTCGGTATTCCATTTATATTCGATTCGCGTTTTATCAAATAGGGAAATATTCTTTATGGATAAGAAATAGTCGAGTTGGCTTTCCCGATGGAGGATTGTTAATTTCGAGATTTCTTTTCGAGTCAAAGAATTTTCTCTAATTAATTAATTCGAAGCAAATTAATTAAATTTCAATAAATGGATTATATTTTAACTTTATATTCGATTCATGAGTTTCACAATTACGATAAAGTGTAAGCGACACAATACCAATTTTGGGCGCTGTGGGGATATTTATCCTTCCCCACACGTAACCAACTCTCGAATCCTTTTAAAACGAATATTTGGTAAACGCAGACTAATTTTCGTTTTAAAAAATGATTTTTCATTAAAATTGTTTTAAAAGACGTTTTTAGGTATTTGATCTACCTAACCCAAAAGTCGATGGCGACTCCATTCAATTTAATTTTAAATTAATCCAAAATCACTAATTTTTTTTAAATTAAAGTCATAATCATTTTTAAAATAATATTTTAATTGTTTTTTTTGAAAAATGGTTACGACAGGCGAGACTTCTTTTGTAAAAGGTGACTGGAAGACATGCCATTTAACAACTAGGATGGGTCTGAGTGGGCTGGAAATCTAGAGACCACGGTTCCACTGTCAAGTAGTGACCAAGAATGGTCCAAGGGCCATCGAAAAGGACTTTGAGATAATCTCCCTGATCACTAAACTTGACAAGAAAATAATCATTTTCAATATCAACAAGTTCAATGGGATGAGAAGGTTTCCAGATGTTGTACATACGATTTTGAATCGTATTATAACCAACACGACGACCAAGAACCTTGACCACGAGAGTCAAATCTATACTCTTAAGAGCCAGGGATTGGACACGCTCGGAAAAATCGATAGTCGGAATACCATTGCCTAGAGCGATATCATCCTCTAAGAGCTCAATATCATCAATTCATCATCATCATCAAAATGGTTGATGTTACCATCCGAATCATGGTATTAAATTGCGGTCGTAACGGTTTTGAAGGTCATCGCGACGTAATATTAGCTCAACGTGATAAAAAAACTGCATCATGACTGTTGCGGTCTAAAACCGTTACGTAACACCGCAATAAGTTATAAATTGTGTCGCAACGCCGCAATACCGCAACAAACTTTTAAATTATCCGAAATATAAAATTACATAGATGAAATATTTTCATTTAATCCTTAAAAATGGATTATAAATATATATAATTTGTAACATCCCAATTTAGGGGCTAAATTTTAAGAAATTATAAAGTGGTGGATTTAATTGGTATTTTGAAAGAAACAGTGGATTAAATTGTAAAATTTCAAAGTTTGCAGACCGTTTTAAGAAGTGCAGGAAGTTTAGTGACTAAACTCGTGGTTTACCCAATTTTTATATAGGTTGAGTTATAAAACTCTTCCCCGTGCGCAGTTAAGTATAATTTTCCAGTTTTGTCTTCTCAAACTACCCTCCTTTCAACTCCGATCTACTCGCCGTCCGACCTCCAAACGACGAGCTGAAACCACCATCGTGTTCGTTGTCAATCGAGGAACAAAACCCCTCAAACCTTTCGTCGTGAATCATCGCCGTTCGTCGTCAATTTCAGTCGGAAGTATCGTCGGTAATAACTCGGTTTTAGTTGGTTTTTCATCGATTCACGACGATCGGGTCATCTGTTTACGACACCTCCCACACCATCGTGTTCGTTGCATCGTTTCGAGTTCGCCGGTGTCATCCTTGGTCTCCGTCGACGGCGGCGCATGAGGAGGTGAAGCGGTCAAAGTTTCCGATTTGTTGAAAACGAGCTCTCCGCCGTTCGAAATTGTGAACCGAGATTTGTAATTATCTCGAAATCGCTCAAAATAATTTATAGAAATTTTTCCGGGATTTTATCACAGTTCACGCGCCGCCACTGCACGTGGGGAAGAAAAAAATGACCGGTTTGACCGGTTTTGCTCCTATTTTGACCGGTTTGACCAGTCATAACCCGACCCGACCCGACCCGACCCGTTTACCCGACCCGACCTGTTGACCCGACCCGTTGACCCGTTGACCGTTGACCAACGTTGACCACTGTTGACCAAAACTTTGACTGGCTTTGACCGGGCATTAAACGACCTTTGACTTTGACCGAGTATACCTATCCTAACATTTTTCGACGTTCCAAATCCGATTTCGCTGTCCGTTTTTTGAAATTCGAACCCAAAGGCCTCGAAATTGCCGGTCAAACCCGTTGACTTTGATTTTGATCGAAAATTCCAAATTTCTGAAAAGTCATATTTTATGCTTTCGACGTCCTGAATCCGAATCTGAAGTCCGTTTCGCCAAATTCGAACCCAGTAAGCCGTCTTTCACTGATTTATCACCCGATTCGATCCGTTTATCGCAATTAAGCTCCGTTTCTGATATAATTTATGTTGATATGTATATGAGGAATTATTGGAAGCTGAATTGAGGATCAAAGGCATTCGAATGGAATTTTTATGGTCGATCAGTATTGCATGGAAATCGAGGTAATACTTTACTACCTCTTTATGCTTTATAGAACATGTTGGTATTGGTAAATGCATGAATGGAAATGTTTGGTCTTATATGTGTAATAAATGAAGATCTACACTAGATACGAATACGGCAGAAAATAGATAACTGAATATGGCTCAGATGACTATTATAAGAAATTGGAGGACAGTTGAAATTAAATTACAAGTTCTGAAATTAAGTGATAAAAGAATCAACCATGGATTGTAGATTATAATTTATCTCATTAAAGGTACTTAGATGATAAATTATGAGAATATTTCGATTAGTTAAAATTACGAAATTACCCTTATGGTGGAAAATGACAAGAATTGCCTCTGGAAGTGGATTAATAAATCTGAAAAGAATTATTGATCTACTAAAACTATTGATGTGCATAAGGAAATGTTAGTTTTACTTGGAAATTATGGATAACCAGTTTTTAACCCCAAGAGGGTTTATGCGAGATACTAGAAGTGTGTTAAGGGAATTATTTCAAGATCAGAGAGTGTTCAAGAAAGTAATTATTCATAGGATCTCTAAATTATATTATTTTCGTTAAGAGATAATATCGAAATTATCTGGTTAAGAAATTACGAAAATGCCCTTGAGAGGTAAAATAGTCAGAGTTGACCCTGAAGGAGAAAGTACTTTGAGGATTTGTACTTAACTCGATTAAGTACAAATTTAATTATTAATATTCTGTCTTTGTAAAGAAAAATTCATAATATTGCGTTTGTAAAATTCGAGAAGGCACTTGACCCGAAAATATCTGAGTTATGAGTAAATACATGAAGAACAATTTATCGGAAGGTGCTCTTTTATCAGAATTGTTCGAACGGACTAAAATAGATGATAAATTAGAATTAAATAATAAGACCGGATGAAGGAAAAAGATTGAAATACCGTAGATCTGTAAAATGACCAAAATACCCCTATAATGGAAATAACCCAAGAATATCACCAAGCTCAGGAATGATTGAATATCCTCGAGCTCTGAAATGAATGGAATAAAACTGAACATCAAAATTACCAAAATATCCTTATGGCCTAAATTAAGTAAATGTCTTGGATTAATTAAGGAATCCAAGTAAGCATAGGTATTGGAACATAGATATTACTGGAACATGTGTTTGTCTTCTCAAGTTTGGCTCGATGACAAATTTTGGAAGTATTCAGTTCAGCTCAGATCTAGATCGTATTCAGTATTAGGAATTGGACGTTTGTTCGACAAATCAACCACGAAGACCAAATTAAATGGAACGAAAGTGCAACATGTGTCTGAAATTTAGGAACGTTTGAATTACTCTGAAAAAAATCCCGAAGTAACTGGAATAGATATGACTGTTAAATAAACTAGGTAACCTCAATGACTGAGGATTAAGTAAGTGGATTGGATAAGTCTAAAAATTCTGATGAGTTTATAAGATGTAATGTCCTTATGGAACATGAACTACAAATCAAGCATGTCAGTATGTCATGATATCGTGGAAGCTTGGAAACGAAATAAAGACCATTGAAAGATCTATTCAGCGATGATTCTGAAGATGATCTATGGACAAGAATTTGTGGTATTAACGAGTAAATACCCTGAAAGGAAAATGAATTGACCAGTCGACATAGATTATTAAGATTTTGAATCTTCGTTCTCAAGATTGTTCGATTACCCTATCAATTGACATGGATGTAAAGGATTCTGAATACCCTTCTGATTACGTACAACTTCTGAAAACTGTCCAAATAAGATATGATCCTGATAATTCACATTCTGAATAACTGATGATTTCGTCAGTTATTGAACTTTTCTAATAGTATTTCTAACGTCCGGTATTTTATCGGTATACTGAAAGTCCGTGTTTCTCTACCTGCTAAGATTATTTAGCATCTCTGAATAATATCTGTAAACTCTGGTGTGTTCCCTAATCATATAAATATTTTATCTGATTTCTGACTTGAATTTTGTTCTGATATATGACCTGAATTCTGTTCTGATTTCTGATATGGATTCTGTTCTGATATCTGTTCTGAATTCTGTTTTGATTTCTGATATCTCCGTTTAATGACGGAAAAATGTTTTAATTGGGAGGTCTTGTTGAAGGAAGAATTTTCGCAGGTACCTCGGCTTTGTGCTCAGGGCCTTATATGTTGTGTTGGGTTGGGTGTATGGTTCTGGGGAACCTACACATCATGTTGTGATGGGATGGGGGTATATATATATATATATATGTTTTAAAAAGATCTGAAAAGTTACATGGTTTTTGGGAACACACTAGAAAACCTATTATGATCTCCTCAACTCAGTCATCCGAAATATTTCTCTGAACTGAAAGCTCATTGTCCGTTACCACCTGAAATATCAGTAGAATCTCTGCTCAACATAAAAATATGTAAATTCTCAGAAGCAATAAGGAAATAAATATTTATATGTATCTGCACGTTCATCAGCATCATCTGGTAGTTATGTATTACTGAGCTTTCTAAAGGTCACTCTATTACTCACATTTTCAGGTTAAAAGAATTGTACCAGTGCATCTATCGACTTCAGTAAGGGAGTTCTTCCGGCGTTGTTGCAGAGTAGGGTACATGTGATTAGGGGGCATGTAATTGTATTTTGATTTATATACGAGTCTGGAAATCTGTTTTATTTTTAAATAGTGAAAATTGATTTTATAAGTTTACATGTTCTGAAAAAAAAGTTTTAAATTTTTCGCTATTTTTACAGTGGGTCGCTCCGGTGGCCCTAATATGACTTCCCGGATCGGATCGGTATACCGCATCGGTCTGGGGGATTACATTTAGTGGTATCAGAGCTTTGGTTTGAGTTAAAAAAATTTCAAGACAGACCGGCCGGTCGAATGTCAAAATATGTCTGATCAGTACATGCCCCTAGACTGCAATCGTACCTCTCTGAGCCGGAACTCCAAGGCTGAGTCCCTATCTGTAACGAATAAACCGAAGTTTATATCCGTTAAGGCTATACTTGTACAAAAACGAATACTAGTAACATCTGTCTAAACGCTGTAAAGTATCTCATGAGCCATGTGAGAGTTATTTATCTGAGAAATGCTGACTCGACTCCAGAAATGAAATTGGGATATGCTACTTCTTTATGAGCCTATTCTCATGACAAAGATTGAATTGATTACTCTAGGAAATTTTTGTTCGGATTCTTTTATTGAAATGAGGAAAAGTTATGATAAGAATGTATGCTCAGCTGGTTAAGGATTAGTGGAGGATCCACACTTTTGTAAAAGCTACTTAAAGATATGAGAGAACTGATGGAAGTTTTATGTTTGCAATTATGTGATTTGAATGAATTTCGAGGACGAAATTCTTTTAAGGAGGGGAGAATTGTAACATCCCAATTTAAGGGCTAAATTTTAAGAAATTATAAAGTGGTGGATTTAATTGGTATTTTGAAAGAAACAGTGGATTAAATTGTAAAATTTTAAAGCTTGCAGACCGTTTTAAGAAGTGCAAGAAGTTCAGTGACTAAACTCTTGGTTTACCCAAATTTTATATAGGTTGAGTTATAAAACTCTTCCCCCGTGCGCAGTTCAGTATAATTTTCCAGTTTTGTCTTCTCTAACTACCCTCATTTCAACTCCGATCTACTCGCCATCTGACCTCCAAACGACGAGCCGAAACCACCATCGTGTTCGTTGTCAATCGAGGAACAAAACCCCTCAAACCTTTCGTCGTGAATCATCGCCGTTCGTCGTGAATTTCAGTCGGAAGTATCGTCGGTAATAACTCGGTTTTAGTTGGTTTTTCATCGATGCACGTCGATCGGGTCATCCGTTTACGACACCTCCCGCACCATCGTGTTCGTTGCATCGTTTCGAGTTCGCCGGTATCATCCTTGGTCTCCGTCGACGGTGGCGCGTGAGGAGGTAAAGCGGTCAAAGTTTCCGATTTGTTGAAATCGAGCTCTCCGCCGTTCAAAATTGTGAACCGAGCTTTGTAAGTATCTCGAAATCGCTCAAAATAATTTATAAAAATTTTTCCGGGATTTTATCACTGTTCACGCGCCGCCACTGCGCGTGGGGAAGAAAAAAAATGACCGGTTTGACCGGTTTTGCTCCTATTTTGACTGGTTTGACTGGTCATAACCTGACCCGACTCGACCCGTTTACCCGACCCGACCTGTTGACCCGACCTGTTGACCCGACCCATTGACCGTTGACCGACATTGACCACTGTTGACCAAAACTTTGACTGGCTTTGACCGGGCATTAAACGACCTTTGACTTCGACCGAGTATACCTATCCTGACATTTTTCGACGTTCCAAATCTGATTTCGCTGTCTGTTTTTTGAAATTCGAACCCGAAGGCCTCGAAATTGCCGGTCAAACCCGTTGACTTTGATTTTGACCGAAAAGTCCAAATTTCTGAAAAGTCATATTTTATGCTTTCGACGTCCTGAATCCGAATCCGAAGTCTGTTTCGCCAAATTCGAACCCGGTAAGCCGTCTTTCACTGATTTATCATCCGATTCGATCCGTTTATCGCAATTAAGCTCCGTTTCTGATATAATTAATATTGATATGTATATGAGGAATTATTGGAAGCTGAATTGAGGATCAAAGGAATTCGAATGAAATTTTTATGGTCGATCAGTATTGCATGGAAATCGAGGTAATACTTTACTACCTCTTTATGCTTTATAGAACATGTTGGTATTGGTAAATGCATGAATGGAAATGTTTGGTCTTATATGTGTAATAAATGAAGATCTATACTAGATACGAATACGGTAGAAAATAGATAACTGAATATGGCTCAGATGACTATTATAAGAAATTGGAGGACAGTTGGAATTAAATTACAAGTTCTGAAATTAAGTGATAAAAGAATCAACCATGGATTGTAGATTATAATTTATCTCATTAAAGGTACTTAGATGATAAATTATGAGAATATTACGATTAGGTAAAATTACGAAATTACCCTTATGGTGGAAAATGACAAGAATTGTCTCTGGAAGTGGATTAATAAATCTGAAAAGAATTATTGATCTACTAAAACTATTGATGTGCATAAGGAAATGTTAGTTTTACTTGGAAATTATGGATAACCGGTTTTTAACCCCAATAGGGTTTATGCGAGATACTAGAAGTGTGTTAAGGGAATTATTTCAAGATCAGAGAGTGTTCAAGAAAGCAATTAATCATAGGATCTCTAAATTATATTATTTTCATTAAGAGATAATATCAAAATTATCTGGTTAAGAAATTACGAAAATGCCCTTGAGAGGTAAAATAGTCAGAGTTGACCCTCAAGGAGAAAGTACTTTGAGGATTTGTACTTAACTCAATTAAGTACAAATTTAATTATTAATATTCTGTCTTTGTAAAGAAAAATTCATAATATTGCGTTTGTAAAATTCGAGAAGGCACGTGACCCGAAAATATCTGAGTTATGAGTAAATACCTTAAGAACAATTTATCGGAGGGTGCTCTTTTATCAGAATTGTTCGAACGGACTAAAATAGATGATAAATTAGAATTAAATAATAAGACCGGATGAAGGAAAAAGATCGAAATATCGTAGATCTATAAAATGACCAAAATACCCCTATAATGGAAATGACCCAAGAATATCACCAAGCTCAGGAATGATTGGATATCCTCGAGCTCTGAAATGAATGGAATAAAACTAAACATCAAAATTACCAAAATACCCTTATAGCCTAAATTAAGTAAATGTCTTGGATTAATTAAGGAATCCAAGTAAGCATAGGTATTGGACTACCTTTAAAGGTAATGAAAAATAATTTAAGTGAATAGATCAACCCTAAAGCTATGTCAATACCTGAATGACATAGATATTACTGGAACATGTGTTCGTCTTCTCAAGTTTGGCTCGATGACAAATTTTGGAAGTATTCAGTTCAGCTCAGATCTAGATCGTATTCAGTACTAGGAATTGGACGTTTGTTCGACATATCAACCACGAAGACCAAATTGAATGGAACGAAAGTGCAACATGTGTCTGAAATTTAGGAACGTTTGAATTACTCTGAAAAAAATCACGAAGTAACTGGAATGGATATGACTGTTAAATAAACTAGGTAACCTCAATGACTGAGGATTAAGTAAGTGGATTGGATAAGTCTGGAAATTCTGATGAGTTTATAAGATGTAATGTCCTTATGGAACATGAACTACAAATCAAACATGTCAGTATGTCATGATATCGTGGAAGCTTGGAAACGAAATAAAGACCATTGGAAGATCTATTCAGAGATGATTCTGAAGATGATCTATGGACAAGAATTTGTGGTATTAACGAGTAAATACCTTGAAAGGAAAATGAATTGACCAGTCGACATAGATTATTAAGATTTTGAATCTTCGTTCTCAAGATTGTTCGATTATCCGATCAATTGACATGGATGTAAAGGATTCTGAATACCCTTATGATTACGTACAACTTCTGAAAACTGTCCAAATAAGATATGATCCTGATAATTCACATTCTGAATAACTGATGATTTCGTCAGTTATTGAACTTTTCCAATAGTATTTCTAACGTCCGGTATTTTATCGGTATACTGAAAGTCCGTGTTTCTCTGCCTGCTAAGATTATTTAGCATCTCTGAATAATATCTGTAAACTCTGGTGTGTTCCCTAATCATATAAATATTTTATCTGATTTCTGACTTGAATTTTGTTCTGATATATGACCTGAATTCTGTTCTGATTTCTGATCTGGATTCTGTTCTGATTTCTGATCTGGATTCTGTTATGATATCTGTTCTGAATTCTGTTTTGATTTCTGATATATCCGTTTAATGACGGAAAAATGTTTTAATTGGGGGGTCTTGTTGAAGGAAGAATTTCCGCAGGTACCTCGGCTTTGTGCTCAGGGCCTTATATGTTGTGTTGGGTTGGGTGTATGGTTCTGGGAACCTACACATTATGTTGTGATGGGATGGGGGTATATATATATATGTTTTAAAAAGATCTGAAAAGTTACATGGTTTTTGGGAACACACTAGAAAACCTATTATGATCTCCTCAACTCAGTCATCCGAAATATTTCTCTGAACTGAATGCTCATTGTCCGTTACCACCCGAAATATCAGTAGAATCTCTGCTCAGCATAAAAATATGTAATTGCTCAGAAGCAATAAGGAAATAAATATTTATATGTATCTGCACGTTCATCAGCATCATCTGGTAGTTCTGTATTACTGAGCTTTCCAAAGCTCACTCTATTACTCACATTTTCAGGTTAAAAGAATTGTACCAGTGCATCTATCGACTTCAGTAAGGGAGTTCTTCCGGCGTTGTTGCAGAGTAGGGTACATGTGATTAGGGGGCACGTAATTGTATTTTGATTTATATACGAGTCTGGAAATCTGTTTTATTTTTAAATAGTGAAAATTGATTTTATAAGTTTACATGTTCTGATAAAAAGTTTTAAATTTTCTGCTATTTTTACAGTGGGTCGCTCCGGTGGCCCTAATGTGACTTCCCGGATCGGATCAGTATACCGCATCGGTCTGGGGGGTTACATAATTAGTAATATTGTAATAGTTATGTTTAAAACTGGTAACTTAAATACGAATTATTTAAATTATTTATTCATGTTATTTTAAAATTAAACCAATTTTGCTTTAAATTGAATCATTTCTGATAGTTAAAATTGATTGAATTAATTTTAAATTAAATTCTTAAATTAACATTAGGTATCATAATTTTATGTTTATTTATTATTATAAAAATTTTAAATAAAAGAAAATTTCATTTTATGATACTATAATTTAAATTGAATTTAAAGAAATAACAAAAATATTTCTTCTTATTCTATATTATAAAATGGATTGCTCAGCCATAAAAACCAGAACGTTGAGTTAGATTGATGTACCTATTCATAATACAAAATAATATAAAATAAAAATACATGTAAATAAACAATAATAATATAAGTAAAATAAAATAATATGATTCTTGGACAAATAAATTTGACCAAAAAAAAGGGTGTAAGTAAAAGTAGTAAATCATGTAGTAGATGATGTAGGTGTGTAAGAAAGTACTAAAGCAAATAGTAGATAATTTTTTTTGGAAGTGTTAAAAATAATTAAAAAAAATGAAGTTAAAAATCAAAATATTAAAAAAATTCACAATCAAAGTAAGAAGTAAAGAAGGTAACAGGAAGAAGCATGGAAATCTAGTTTCAACGTGTAAGTAAAAGTAGTAAAGCATGTAGTAGATGATGTAGGTGTGTAAGAAAGTACTAAAGCAAATAGTAGAAAATTTGTTTGGTCGTGTTAAAAATAATTGAAAAAAATGAATTTAAAAATCAAAATATTAAAAGAAATTCACAACCAAAGTAAAAAGTAAAGAAGACAACGGGAGGAAGCAGAGAAAATTTAGTTTCAAAGTGTAAACCTTTTATCTTCATCTTCTCCACATTTTCAAGAGATAAGTTCTTCAAAAAAATATTTTTTTCTACACCATTTTAAGAGATCAATTTCCCCTTTTATTCTAACTTCAAGTCTTGTTCGTGGTTCTTCTTAACTCAACATTGAAGTGAAACAAGTAAGTTATATTATCATTATTTTGTTTATTATTTAGTTTTAAAATTAAATTTATCTTATTAGTTGAATTTAGGATTATTATAGGATTGTTAGGAAATTATTATATCTTTTGGTGTTAGTTATAAATTTATTTTATTTGTTTAAAATATATATAAAGAAGGTCTAATTGGTCATTAAGCCTTTCTATCAAATTGGTTTATGTGTAGGTATAAGAAAAAATGCCACGTTCAAAAAGTAAAGAAGGTGAAGCTCCTAATGATGATTATGGTTGGAGGTGGGGAGAATTTGTTGAAGGTCATCGTAATAATGTTAGAAGAAAATTTTGTGATAAAGTTATTAAAGGAGGAATAACGAGATTGAAAGAGCATTTGACTGTAAAAAAAGGGAATGTAGCACCTTGTCCAAATGTCTCGGCCGAAGTTAGAAAAAACATTGCTCAATAACTGCAGGAATTTCACAATGAAAAAGCATTGAAGTAGAAGATAAAAGAAGAATTAGAGGGAAAAAAAAGATTTGGAGATCATGGAAATTATGATAACAGTGATTCTGAGGATGAAAAGTTGACTATTGCAAAATGAGAAAGTATAAGATCCAAAATGGAATGGGAAGAAAGACAACGTCGAAGAGCAAGAACTGGTAAAGATTCAGTTAATGAACCTGGGGGATGTAGTACTTATGGATCTCGAGAATTCTAAACATCATTCAGTACCATTGATTCTAGAATAAGTGAGAGGAAACATCAGTGGAGTAATTCCGACTCTCCTGGAGCTAAATTGGCAAATATGGATCAATTTCTTGAAAAATCAAAGAGTTCGAAGCAACCAAAACTCGCTGCAAGCTTTTTGAAAAATTGAAAAGCAAAGCTAGGAAAAGCAATTTCAAAATTAATATTGCATGAAGTTTTTCCGACAAGAATTACAGAGTCACCATTTCTACAGCCCATACTTCAAGTTGCAACTGAAGTTGGAAAATCAGTTGGGGGTCATTCAGCTTATGAGGTGACATGAGTGTATTTGGAAGAAGAGTACAAAGAAATACAAAAATAGGTGAAAAAATTTAAGCTTATCTGGGAAGAAAGAGGTGTGACCATCAAGTATGATGGGTGGAAAGGGACTAGAAATCAACATATAATCAATTTCTTAATTTATAGTCCTAGAGGTACCATCTTTAGAAAATCAATTGATGCTAGCAGTGTCACCTCTCATACTGCTGAGTATTATTTTGATATAATGGACAAAATGGTGGATGAAATTGGTGAAGAATTTATTGTTCAATTTGGTACAGATAATGAAGCAGCAATCAAAGCTGGTGGTAAGATGTTGATGCAAAAGAGAAGGCACATGTATTGGTCAGCATGTTTTGCTCATTGCTTGGATCTTATTTTAGAAGAAATTGGTAACAAAAAAGGTGTGAAAAATGTCTTAGATCAAGCAAAAAGGATCACTTCTTTCATATACAAGCATACATGGACAATTGATTATATGAAGAAGTATACCAAAGGTATAAAACTCTTACGGGCCGGGATTACTAGATTTGCTACCAATTTCATTGCTTTAGAGAGCATTGTTAGAAGCAAACAAGCACTCAAAGAAATGGTGACTTCTTCATAATGGAAAAGGTCCAAGTATACAAGAAAAACAGATGAATTAGAGATGATGGAAGTCATTAACTCCACTCAGTTTTGGAAAAAGGCGGGTGATGTCTTAAAGATCCAAGAACCGTTGGTTAAAGTATTAAGGATGTGTGATGGTGATGAAAAACCGACTATGGGTTTTATTTATGAAGCTATGGATAGAGCAAAATTGGCGATTCGAAGAGATTGTGGATATTACCAGAAATATTGGGAAGTAATTGATAGGCAATGGAGCAATCAACTTCACAATTATTTGCATTCTATTGGTACGTTATAAAACTTTTAAATTAAAATTGTGATATATTGTTTAAATATTTATTATATTATTTTATATAGGATATTTCTTAAATCTACAATTTCTACACGAAGGCAATTCCACAAGTGATGTGATTTATGAAATCATGAATGGGGTGAGAAATGTCATATAAAGGATAAGGCCCAACTTGAATGATCAAAATTTGGTAATGAACCATGTATGTATTTTATATTCTTTAAATTGTTGAGAGAACTTATATATTATCATGTTTTAACTACTAATTCATTTATTTATAGTTATTGTTATATCGAGATAAAATAGATTCTTTTGGAACACCATTAGCTCAAGCTGCAATTTTGAAGACTAACCCTGGTAAATAAAAAGAATTCAATCTTTATAGGTTTGTAGATAATGATGATATATTTATAAATACTTTATGAATTATATCTTAATATTTGTGTTTTTTATCTGAATGTTGGATCAATTATGGAAATTGTGCACCTCAACTTCAACACATTGCTGTCAGAGTTTTGAGTTAAACAACCTCTTCTTCAAATTGTGAGCGCAATTGTAGTACATTTAGTATGACCCATACAAAGAAGAGAAATATGCTTAAGCATAAAAAGCTTCAAAAATTGGTTTATGTCCATTATAATATGAGGTTGAAACTAAGACACATGAAAAGAAAAAGTGCACAAGAGCTAGAAATGAGTTTTAATCTAATCAATCTTGAAAATATTTTTGAAGATGATCCACTAAATGCATTGGTTGAAGAAAGAGAAGATGCTACGCTCGATAGTGAACAAAATTTCTCATGTTTGGCTAAAGAGTTACTTAATGAAATAGATGAAGAAACTAAAGGTGAAGATATGCATGACATTTCACCTACTCCATCTAATGATGAAAGTGTTCAACTATCGACGTCAAGTGGTAGTGGTGATGATGACGGTGACGGTGATGGTGGTGATAATGAAGGTGTAACACTCATAACCCGTATAATTATACTTATACAGATTATAGATATTATCCGAATTTCTAAAACCATTTCCAATTTTCTATTGCGATTTAAAATTTATTTTCTTAAAATGGTAAGTGATATTATAAAAATATCATGTCATAAAAATTAAGTTTTGTTGTAACGAATTTAATTCAAAAGATTTAATGAATAGTGAACAGTGGCGATGAACAGTAGGGGAATCGATTCTCTATTAGGGGGAATTGGTACCCCAAAATCATTATGGAAATTTTGCTTAAAAACGTGGTTACTGTTCATGCTACAGTAACTTCCGAAAATACATATAAATTCATAAAAATTAACCTTTCATCACTATAAAAATTTCCAAAATTTATTCAACAAATAAATTGAACATTTTCAAATTACATGCCACTATCTAAAATCAAATTCCATCTTAGGATGTCTTACTGATATTGAAATATACCTCTCGATGCTTGATATCACTTTGAACTCTTTATTCCGCTTTTTACCTACGCGTGAAAATCATCACACTCTAAGTATATACTTAGTGAGGCAATTAAAACATTTAACAGTGCAATACAATTAATGCATGATTTTCAATGTCAAAAATCAATTTCCATAAAATCATTTTACTAACATATCCAATATTTTACCATGATCAAAATAATATAAAATCTCTTACCATTTATCCCATAAGCTCGTAAGCTTATTTTACCAAACTACTTACCATTTAAATTCCATAAGCTCGTAAGCTTATTTTATCAATATACTTGCCATTATTCATAAGCTCGTAAGCTTATTTGCATACTTACCATTTATTAACCATTAAACCATAACTCATAGCCCATAGTATAACTGTATA